ACTTCCTTGTATCCGAGGCAGGAAACATAGCCTTATATGGTGTTTTTGGGGTGGTAATTATGCTAATCTCCTCTCACGTGCACGAGCAGCTGGATACGAACAGGTGGAATTTTTGCAACTCATTTACACACTTTTCCTGAAGATAGAAGAGTTTGTTGAATCTGATGTGACATGTTCGTACGAACCCTTCATACGAACAAAAGTAAGAAAAATTTAGGATAAGAATACGAACATGTTCTTGCATGAGGCCCAATGTGCTTACCCTGTTTATATCATCTACTACCACCAGGTGTCTGAGTCCCAGAGCCCTGAAGAGCTTAAACACTCGAGGCAGAGACGTGTCCTGGACAAAAAAAAAAGTTTTCATAAACAAAACAAAACAAAAAGAAATGCAAAAAGCACTTCAAACAGAAAAATTTCATTACAACGCTCTACCTGCGGTACAGTGTACGGTGTTGGGTTCATGAACTCTGTCAGGTCCATCATACACTCCCTCTCATCCTGAGACACGTGGATGCTCTGGATCGGGGGGAAACGGGGGTAGGCGTCCCTGAAATCTTTGAGCTGGAGTTTCCTCTGAGTCAGCCGGGACTGGGCCAGCTCCACGAACACCTGTTGGGAAGGAGCGGGATGCGACGAGGATCAGTTCTGAGAGAGAAAAGCTACGACACTTGGCAGGACGGCTGAAAACAGTCAAAAGTGGCGCTGAGGGTACCTTGTGTTTGAGGAGAACGATGAGCTGGGAGCGCAGGATGAGACCGCAGAGTTTAGCTGGCTGAGAAGAAGGGGAAAAAAGAGTTGGGTTTCTATTCAGATATGACAATGCAAAATATATATATTTGAAGATCTATCTACAGCATGTTTTCATTTGGTGGTCAGTGTTTATATTATGGTACAATCCCTTAATACTTAAATGCATTTTTAAGCTTAAGAAAAATCTAAGTATATTAAAAACTCTTAAAAATGCCCTAAATTATATACAACATATTTCAAACTTAAGGCCTGCAGGCCAAATTTGGCCTTTTTAGCASTTTATCTGCCCCCCAAGATAATATGTGACACATACAGTAGCATCAAATTGAGGATTAAGTCAACTGTAATTTTTTAAGCTACATTTTGGATCATCCTGATAACTCACTGATATTTGGTCTATTGGAAAGAATTGTTTTGGGGTTGTTTTTTTTTTTTGCTAGCATGTAGGAAAAATGATAAAAAAAAATAAGGTTTTTCTGCTCAAAATTTTTTTATTTTGTGGCTACATCAAAAAAATCTTTAAAATTATATTTCAGATATTATGACTCAGATATGGTATTTATTCATTATATTTTGACAATGCAATTATTGCAATCATTTTCAAAACATTAAAGCTGCCCGTTTCTCCACACACCATTTTGTGACTTAAACAGCTATGTGATGTCAGGTATTTTAAATGAATTTACAGTGGTTTGCAAAAGTATTCATACCCCTTGAACTTTTCCATATTTTGTCACATTACAACCACAAACATAAATATATTTCACTGGAATTTAATGTGAAAGACCAACACAAAGTGGTATACAATTGTGAAGTGGAAGCAAAATTTTACATGAATCAAAACATTTTTTACAAATAAAAAACTGAAAAGTGCGACGTGCAAAAGTATTCAGCCCCCTTTTCCCTGAGTGCAACCAATTGCATTCAGAAGTTGCCTGATGACTGCTAATGACTCAAAAGGGTCCACCTGTGTGTAATCTAATCTCAGTACAAATACAGCTGCTCCGTGACGGCCTCAGATGTTGGTTAAGAGAATATTGGGGAGCAAACAGCATCATGAAGTCCAAAGAACACACCAGACAGGTTAGGAATATGGTTTTGGAGAAGTTTAAAGCAGGCTTAGGTTATAAAAAGATTTCCCAAGCTTTGAACATCTCACGGAGCACTGTTCAATCCATCATCCGGAAATGGAAAGAGTATGGCACCACAGTAAACCTGCCAAGACAAGGCCGTCCACCTAAACTTACAGGCCGAACAAGGAGATCACTGATCAGAGAGGCAGCCAAGAGGCCCATGGTGACTCTGGATGAAATGCAGAGAGCCACAGCTCAGGTGGGGGAAACTGTCCACAGGACAACAATTAGTCGTGCACTACACAAATGTGGTCTTTATGGAAGAGTGGCAAGGAGAAAGCCATTGTTAAAAGAAAACCATAAGAAGTCCCGTTTGCAGTTTGCCAGAAGCCATGTTGAGGACACAGCAAACATGTGGAAGAAGGTGCTTTGGTCAGACGAGACCAAAATTGAACTTTTTGGCCACAATGCAAAACGCTATGTGTGGCGGAGAAAGAACACTGCACATCACTCTGAAAACACCATCCCCACTGTCAAATATGGTGGTGGCAGCATCATGCTCTGGGGGTGCTTCTCTTCAGCAGGGACCGGGAAGTTGGTCAAAGTTGATGGGAAGATGGATGGAGCCAAATACAGGGCAATCTTGGAAGAAAACCTGTTGGAGTCAGCAAAAGATTTGAGACTGGGGCGGAGGTTCACCTTCCAGCAGGACAACGACCCTAAACATAAAGCCAAAGCTACAATGGAGTGGTTTAAAAAAAAGAATATTCATGTGTTAGAATGGCCCAGTCAAAGTCCAGACCTAAACCCAATTGAGAATTTGTGGCAAGATCTCAAAACTGCTGTTCACAAACGCTCTCCATCCAATCTGACTGAGCTTGAGCTGTTTTGCAAGGAGGAATGGGCAAGAATTGCAGTCACTAGATGTGCAAAGCTGGTGGAGACATACCCTAAAAGACTTGCAGCTGTAATTGCAGCAAAAGGTGGCTCCACAAAGTATTGACTCAGGGGGGCTGAATACTTTTGCACATCGCACTTTTCAGTTTTTTATTTGTAAAAAATGTTTTGATTCATGTAAAATTTTGCTTCCACTTCACAATTGTATCCACTTCGTGTTGGTCTTTCACATTAAATTCCAGTGAAATATATTTATGTTTGTGGTTGTAATGTGACAAAATATGGAAAAGTTCAAGGGGTATGAATACTTTTGCAAACCACTGTATCTAAGGAAAAAAGTCTGATTTTAAGTAATACTTGATTTAAGTGGAAATAAACATCAAATGAGACTAATCAAACACTTATTAACTTGAAGTAAAGAAAGTATTTTAGTCTGACTTAAGTTAATGTGCATCAGACTAGCTGCAAATCTGCTTTTCTACTTGTCTCCATGTCAAAGGTTGTTCAGGGACTACAGTAAAAAAATAACACAAGTCTTTTTAGACAGAAGATAAAACCGTATTTTACAGTATTACAGAAAAAAAGACATATAGTTCAACCCTACTTAACGAAGTGAATAATAAAAAAGTAATTGGTATTGCAAAACGTTGAGCCAAAACATCAACTTTCAACAAATACCTCGTCGTTATCAGAAACCTGCACGACGACAGGGAAGCCGTTGTGATTGGTGGACATGTTGCTGAGGACATCCACGATGGTCCCCACCTTCTCTACTTGGTTCAAACATGTGACCGGAGAACTCATCACCTCTCTGGATCGAGAAAAGGGTGGGCACAAAGGTGGAAAACACAAATACATAAATACAAAGGAGGGGCATGAAGCAGACAGCAGTCACACCACACAGATTGGATTCTTCAAATCGTGACTCGTCAACAAGCCTTTAGCAAGTCAGACAGGACTTACCTGGCAGTGAGCCAGTGGGAGGTGGCAGGAGCCTCCCAGTGCAGGAAAGGAACGCTCTGAAGCTTGATGTGAATATCATACAAACCCTAAAAAGGGCAGGAGTGGTTAAAAAAACAACAACAAAGCAAAAACTTAACTGTCTTGCATAAACAGAACAAGAAGGCTGAAATCAAATAGTCTAATTTTAAAATCACCCATTAAAAAATGTTTGATTTTCATTAACAGTGAGTCTTTTCAACACAACCAGATGAACATTTCGTTAGCATGATAGATGCTCAAGTATTTTCTTCAGTGAGAATGTGTCACAATCAAAACCTACACAGAAATAAAAACACTCTTTGTCACTGTGTGTTCAAAGTTTTAGAAGAGGGTTTTTTTTAAGTTCTGTAGAATTTCCTGGTTATGAACATTAAAGAGTCTTTTCCTTATTACTCACTTCTTGAAAATAGTCTCCGACTATCTTGGCAGTCATGAGGACGAGCATGATGGGAAAGCCGTATGTGACGTTACCCGTTGCCTCCACCAAGATGACAGTCAAACTGAGAGTCATTCTCACAATTCCACCTGTGCAGAGAAGATCATCACGTAAAAAAAAAAACCTAAAAGTTATTAAAGGGATCCCTGATTAGTTGTAACATTAGACTTTATTTGATAAACATATATTTT